GCAACTCTCTGAGAGCTGGCCCTAGGCCAACTGTACTCACTGCATGTGCCCCCAGGAACCTCTGGTTACAATCTGTTGTAAACTTAGAGCTCTTTCAGTTCAAATGATTTCTTTGTGCTTTGACTTCTTTCCTCTTAATTTAGGGTAGAAATGCTTTCACAATCCCTGTCAAGAAGCCATTATAGCTACACCAAATTGCATCTTTTTTTCCCATTCTCTATTAGGTTCCCACATCTCACATCCTTTCTGAAGATGCCCTTGACTCTGTTTTCCAGCTTAACTCTCAGGGCTCTGTCTCCAGATTCACCCTGGCTACCGTGTGCCACTCTTTCTGCCTATCTGGATTTCTGGTCCCCACCACTTTCTCCATTTTCCTGTATATTCTGTGTTTCTTGAGTCCCCCACCCGTGCCACCCCCCTCCACAGTTTGCCTATTTGCAGATTGATGGACATGTGCACATTTTCACATGGCCCAGAATACGAACTTTTATTTACAAATATTTCAGTTGGAGGGCATAAACTGAAAAGAGAAAAGAATGAGCACTTTCATGCTAACCTTGTAAAAATCCTCAGCAAAGCCTCCTCCCTTCCCTACAACCCCCACCGTTGTGCTGGGAGTGTCACAACAGAATCAATCTGCAACCCTGCGAAAAATAAACAGAAATAAGCACAAAAACAGATGGACATCTCCTAATCCCTGGTAGCTGAAGGCAGGATTTTACTGTGTTTTTAGAAGATTCCTTTCTAAAGACCTCCATCAACTCAAATCTGGCTTTGTAGCAGAAGCTGTATCTGTCAGCTGCACTCTCACTTCTTTTTCCTTATCCATTAGCATGTAAGCTAGAGTTCAAAAGTCATCTTTTTAAATTTAAAACAAATTTTCTAAACTCTAGAAAGAAACCTTCCCACCAGTGCTTTGCTTCTTACTAATTAAATATTGTGATCCTTCGGACATCAGCCCTTAAGAAGAATGTTTTCAAAGGCAGCCTTTCTGCTAATTAGAAGGAATGCGTGGGTGATGCAAATTTACTTACAGTCACCTCACAGAGGGACATACAATACTATACATTCTCTGAGAAACAGTGCTAGCTCAGAACTAACATTACCCACTGTGGACAACAAAGGGTTTAGTCCATTTTCAGGATATTCTTAATGGCTGAACTTAACATTTCCAAAAAATGGCAGGTGGCTCCATCCCACATTGCAGCAGAACCTTTTACCACTAGGCAATGCCTCAGTCCTTTTACATGCAAGGATATGCTCGGTACACATCTTCTTGGGCATGCAACTAACAGAAGTGGCAGGAACAAGAACCGCACTTACCTTGTCTTGAGGCTTGTGTTAGGCTTGGTTCAATCCACATGTGATTGTTCTGCATCCTCCAACTAACCTTCTACACATCTGCCAGATGTCAACAGCTCAGAAGATTCCCTTAGACAGTATTTCTGCATGATACTCTCCTTGGGATTGATGGCTTCAGAGGCTCCCAGGAACAATAGGACAGCACAGAGGACAGAGAGGCTGGCTGGCAAAGAGAAGATGCTGGTGCATGCCCTGAGTCTCTGTCATGTCAAGATACAGCTCTAAACAAACAGATTCTTCCTCAACTGCTGCTACATATGGCAATGTCAGTACAGGCTAAAGACACAATTGAAATACAGGCTGAAGTCTACATAGGGAGACTTTATATCCCTCCACAAGATGATGCTACCAAAAAACCCTCTGAATTATTTTTCACAACAATACATAAGCAAAAGTGTAAAGCAAACTGAAGTTTAGCTCTCGAAGTTGTCTGGTATACAAAAGCATTTTTTTTACACTGGACTTCATCCAAAGCAGACATTCAACTACTTTTAAGCACATCTGGAGGTCAATACAAATTGTCCCACTCTTAATATTATTACCACACAAACTGGCTAATACGCATCCACAAAACAGGGTGTAAAGTCATTTCTGTGGTTACATGAATGATTTGGCTTCACTTTCAAGTCCTACCACAGACTTCCTGTTCAATCCGGCATATGAGGGTTAACCTCTTTGGTACATCTCTATCTGCCAAACAACGTAAATAACACCTGCCTCTGTTCTGGTAGTTTATGAGGCTCTGAGGGCATGTCTCTACCACAGGTGCAGGCACACCCAAGCTGGCTCCATATGAGGAGCACTAATTGTGTTCCTTATTTTTATAGGGATTCAAATTAAAATGCCCAGTATTCAATTTACCAAAATGCTGAGTGCTCAGAACTGTAACTGAAGTCAAAGGGAATTCTGCTTGGAACAATCAAATAGATATATATTAACAGTATAATTCTAAATACGCAGGAAAAGTCAGGCCAAAGGCATCTCCAATGGGTACCTAAAATGCGTAAGCACATCTGAAAGGAAACTCAGTGCCTCTGTCCCTTCCTAGAAAACAAAACCAGCTTTATACCCTTTGGGATGTTGTAAATACATTGTTTATTCCTACAATAAGGCAATTAAAAGCTAGAATTCTAAGTATATCTTTTTTTAAAAAAGGAAATCTATCAACAGTGCACAGCTTAAATGATCTTCAGTAAGTAAGGCATGGGCTGGAGCATGAGGACAGAGGTTATTGAGTAGCTGCCCACTGACACTCGTCTTTCATTGTATATGCTTATTGAGGAACAGACCTGTGGAACAACACTGTGTGACCACTTCAGACAAATCAGGACCTAAAATGAGGTTTTGTAGACAAATTGTTTTATTTCCTACTGTTTTGGTGTCTAATTTTGCAACCATATAGTTCATTACAGCTTTTTTGTAAAATGTCATTTACCCCAGGATCTGTAGATGAAAACAGAAATCTTATTCTCACTGTTGCAAGAATCAAGAATAGTGTCTATAAAATTAATTGAATTGAAGTAACAGAAGTGAATAGTCAAGCCTTTTGCTCCCTGAGAAGCACAAGCTACAGGTCAGAATTAGGATTCACTATACTAAACAGCAAAATGGGATATTAGCTATCGACTGCTCCGTATTTTTTTAAGTCATTCTTAAAATCTAATGAAACTTTACAGAGCATAAATATCAACATTTTTCTCTGTCAGACATTAAGGATAACAGGAGTTTTATAAGTCCCTAACATGAAGCTTTCACCTTTACCGCTATTACTATGGTATGTAATCTCATAGTTTCAAATTTGGAGCTGATTCACACCTTTTATTCTCTTCTCCAGAAATCAGATAACACAAGCTATTTGTTGAGTTATCAGAAAAGATTAAGTGACATCACAAGGGTTCTGGGGAAGAAAGTAACCAGTACAACAGAGGGGATAATCAGGAAGCTGATTAGAATAAAAAAACTGCTGTGATATAGCACATTTGGGATTTAATGTATGAAAAGATAAAAAAGATGAAAGAAGAGGAAGAACGAAGAGCAAAGGATAACAGGCCCTTGTAAAAGAAGGAGGTAAAGAAAAAATATATATGACCTTATATTATCTGATTCTACTAGCAAGAATTTACTAACTGGCATTTGTGTCAGTGCCTTGTATTTGGTCATGTTAGAACATGGTTTGAATAAAATAAGGAACTGTGCTGTATGTCTGTTTTAACAAGTGCCAAGCCAAGTGGTTTACAAAAACACTTCAGCTCCTCATACCTGCAATAGCATTTTGCAAGATTCTTGTCATGTGCCACACATGCCATGGTTGTTTGCCACCCTTCATGGGAGAGGTGACAGACAGCATTTCATGCTGTCTTTTGTCAGCACCTTCAAAAGCATCTCAGTTTTGAGCTCTTTTTCTTTTCACCTTGTAGATGAAGTGTTCAGTCAACCTGGCACTGAGACAGGTATAGCTCTGTACAGGGAAGTTAGTGAGATGAATGGGGAGGAAGTGCAGAGGCATATTCATTAAAGAGAAAACAAAACAAAACAAAACATGCTTTAGATGATGTCATTCATGTCATACCTCATACACACTTTAACTAAGCACTGTAGTGCTGTGACCTTTGGCCACTCCAGTTCCTGCAGTTCCATCTGCAGCTAGAGACATTTGTGTGCCTGACTTTTCAGAACAGGACCCCTCTGGACCCCTTCCAACATAGTTGAACCTTGATGGGTAAATACTGTTCTCAAATTTTCAAACTACATGAAAGCTGTAACATGGTGAAAGCAAGACTTGGTCCTACTGGTACCACCAGTGGTCTCGATGAACAAACACGTGAATAATTTGCCGCCCAGCCCTCAGCAGAACCTGGATTTGACATCACTCAAGTGCTTCTGACATTTCTACAGATAGGGCTTGCTCTGTGGCAGAAATGGCACCCCACATGGTGTTGAAAGAATGCTACTTGAAGAACAGATGACAGAGCAACTTGTTCCCACACACCCAACTTGTGTATCCCAGCACAAAGTCAAATTAAACTATGCTAGCTTTTAAAGATACACCACAGGGTGAAGAGAAGATAGCCATGGACAGATGTGGGGTTTATGTGTGCTCACTGCTCCATGGAGAATTGTAATCCCTTCCTGAAATTCTTTCAGCCTCTCAAGTATGGTACACAGTGATCTCCAGATCTGTGGGATCCAAATGCTTCAAATTTCAGTGCAGGCAGCAGAAAATTAGTCTCCTGTAGCATGGTCTCCACTGTGTTCATCAGGCGTTTGCTATCAGAGCTGCTTCTACACCTTCGCATCACTACAGACCATATATACTGGCTTTGCTTGCCTGCTGACCTAAGAAGCTGAAGCTGCCTGTCTTGGGAGCTTTAAACACGGGTATTTCTTGGTAGCAAAAGCACCATAGGCTTGGATTTCTATGACCAACTGTGTTTTCAGGTCCCATTTAGAGCAAATCCTGAGCCCTTCAAAAGACTTTTTGAGGGGCTGAGTCACACGTTGACAATCAATTCAGTGCAAGAAAGCAAATTTCTGCAATTAGATCCCAGTTGGGTCAGTTTCTGGAAAGCAAGGCGACGAGTGCTGTGCTGTGCCTGACAGGAGACATCAGCAAAGAAGGGAAGGGATGGAGTCACAAGCAGCACGTTTTGGTGATGGCAATGTTATACCTGGAAGCGCTCTCCGCACCACATCCTCGCATCATCCCTATTTGCGCACGGCGGCAGCACGGCGGCGGCTCGGCTCCTATTTCAGCAGCGTACCCGGGGCTAGCTCCCGGCCGGGACCGGCACCCTCGCCCGGCGCTGCCTTCTGCCTCTGCAGGGGAGGGTGGGCACCGCGGGCACCCCGGCCCTCCTCAGGGTGGGGTACGGGCGAGGGTTGCCCCGGGTAGGGGCCGGCCCCGCACGGGGCGGAGGAAACGCACAGACACTGGCTGCTCTCCGCGCGTATCCACGCCGGGAGGTGGCCCGGCACTTCCCTCCCCTCCCTCTCGCCCTCCCCCGTCCCCACCTCTCCTCCAAAACCGCAGGAGCCGCGGCGGCCTTGCCTCACTCGCTCCGGTGCCGGGCGCGGAGCGGGTAGAGCTCACCGCAGGCACGGCCTGGGGCGGGCACAGCCCCGCCGCATCCCCTCCGCCTCGCTGTTATGGCCGGTGTCGCGGCACAGCGTTGACGATGCTGCTGGGCGCCCCGCGGGCGGGCGGCTGGGATCGCGGCCGGGTGGGCGAGAGGCTGCAGGCGGCCCTGGCCGGCCTCCAGGAGCTCCAGGTGCTGCGGGAGAAGCAGCGGGAGCTGGTGCGGGCTGCTCTGGCCATGCCGCAGCGGCCGGCGGCGTGCGGAGCAGACCAGCCCCTGTCCGCACACAACAAGGAGCACCGATTGGAGGCCACCCTCACCGCTCTGAAGGAGCAGCTGGTAAGAGACGGGACGCCCTGCTGCCTCCGGAGCTCGGTAACCCGGTTCAGGCTATCCTGTGGGGCCGCGGTGCTGAGCGCGGGCGGGCGGGCAGGCAGAAGAGAGCGCCTCCGGGCTGTCCCGCACCGAGCTGCCCAACACCCGGCTCGGGAGATGCCGGCGCTGTTCCGGAGCCGAGAGCAGGCAGGGCGCTGGAGCCCCGGCCGCCCTTGCCGCGCCTCCTGCTCCGCCGGGAGGTGAGAGCGGCGGGGCCCGGGGGTGGTTGCTGGGGCGAATTGCGGCCACTGTGCCTGTCCCCGTCGCAGCCGCTATAACGGTCGCTTGTTTTCCTCAGGGAAAACCTCACCTGAGGTCGTCTTCAGCGCCCCGAAATACGTGGCTTTGGTAGAGGGCTCTGTGCCAGGAGGAGCGCTGGGGAGAAGTTGCTGCTCGGCGTTGCTCATTCATCGGAGCCGAGGAGCAAATGATTAACTTCAGCAATACATGTGTCACGCTTGTGGGCGCTCGGCTCTTTAACTGCAGCAGCCGCTTCAGTAGGTGATCGAAATACACAAAGAGTGGGACAGATTGAGCGCTCAGGGTTTTGGTACGGGTGTGCGTGCGTACACCTATGTGCTTCTCGCAGCTATGTGCCGGTGAGAGTCAGTCTGTGAGGGAGGGGTTTGTGGGCCAAGAGCACTTTGTTCTTGCCACGGACTGGGTGATCAAAAGAGAAGAAATGAATGCCAGGCCTTGTATTTGAAGTGTCACCCCAGCCGGCGGTTTTGTGAAGGAAAAAAACACATTCTGAATTGTGACAGAAATGAGTTTCGTAGGTGAGACAACAATCAAAGGGTAAAGGGCTTTAATCTCTAGTATGAGCAATTACACACTTCAGTTAACTCAGACTTAATTCAGAGCCTTTTCCCTCCCTGTACTGGTGCAAGGCTCGGCCATTAGTTACCAATCAGGTGTGAAAACAGTAACGTTATTCACTTCCCTTAGACAGCTTTATCAGGCAGTATCTTGGAACAAAATTGGCTTGAACCTTCAGGGAAACCTAGCCACCACATGTGAAAACACAGCAGTGGGCATATCTTGATTAAAGTAAGACATGCAGGACAAGTGGACTGCCAACAACTTGATTACCTGTCACTGATAATTTTAACTAATGGCTCTACTTTTATTTAATTATTTATTATTTTTTTTTACTGAAGGCATTTATTGCCTGTCTGGGACCACTGGGTTAACAGAAACACCCAATAACCTCTGACCATAGTGAATGTCCTTTTTTCATGTCAGCTGTTGTGCTTTAATTACTCATTTGTTTATACATTTTTCAAATATAAAGATATAAAATTAGCTTGTCAGGACTTTACTGGCACCTTATAAGGCTTTCAAGGCACCAGTAGCACCAAAGTAGCCATGAAAATGGAAGAAAAAGACAGCCTTTAATTGCTGCCCTTAGAAACGCAGGAGCTGGGTGAATGAGGGTAACAAAGCACATACCACCGGAGTGGGATGGATTTCACCAGTAGGTGCCAGTGCAGATATGGGAAAAGTGTCTTCTGGGGGTGCCTGGGAGGAAACTGTTGATAAAGCTTGAGAGGGATGACTCAGAACTACATAAATCCATGGGCAGGTTCTTCAGCAAAACCACAGTTGTACTTAAGAAGTGATACAAAGCTCTTCTGATTGATCCATGGCTGATGGAAGCTTTTCAGGCTGGCATACCTGGTACCTTCATTGTTTTGTTCCACTGCAGTTGCAACCATGTAATTGAGCAGAGGTGCATACCTCAAAGCTGCTTAACAACAAAGTAGACTCAGTTGAAAACAGGCTGTTTCACAGTCCTGTTAGAAGTAGTCCACAGATCCTAGGAACTCAGCTGTCACAGGCTGAAAACTGTTTCTCAGTGGCTCATGAGCAGCATATTGCACTCAAAACCCTTTAAAATTCTGTTCATGATCACAGGAAGTTAAGTTAAAACTAAAACCAACAGAAAATGCAAAGCACAGCATTGTTCGGGGAGTGTTACGTCTTCATTGTTGTTGTTCTTGGCCCGTGGATGATAAAGTATGTGATTGCTGCTCTATAAGCTTTCAGATTGAGAAACTCATTAACAATGTAAATGGAGCTTTGCCTTGCAGTGTATCTTGATCCAAGCTTCAAGCAGGGCTATAGCCCTGGGCTTTAGCATGGTCACGGTTTAATTCATAAAGTTTGGTCCCTGCAACATAAAATGGGGAAGCTATACCAGCTGGAGCTGGCTCAGGGCATCTCAGCAGTGAAAACAAGGCAGATTAAGGCTCAAGCCAGGCTTCTCCTATAATGGTAAGGTGATAACAGAAGAGCAGAGGTAGCACCCTTAAGGAGCCAAGTGCCACTGGCGGGACTGGGTGGAGCAGAGCCATCAAATAGTATTCCAGCATCCTAGTCTCTTCCTCAACAACAGGTACCACTGGCAGCCAGCAGCTGGCCTTTCCAGCAGTCTGCTGCAGGCAGCAAGGCTGCAGGCTTTCTGCTGCCTCTGGCAGTCATAGCCTTTTTTGCCCCAGACAGCATCTCTTTTTGGTGGCCAGGGGCTCTTCTGGCAGCTGCAAGTTATATGGTGCAGGCAGGATCAACTCTCTGTAGCAGAACAGCATTAAGTGATGCCATCTACTGTCAGTGATCCCAAAGGTGCCAAACGATATGACACAGAGGAAACAGAAGAGGTGCAAATTCAAACAAATAGAAAAATATCTATGATACTTTCACTGTTATAAAAATTGGATTATTTGAATCTGATTATTTTGTTTTGCAAGCTTTCAGGTGGCTTATCATGTTATAAATATGTGAGAAGGAATACATTCGGCTGAAAAAAAAACCAAGCAAATGAACCACTCAGTACCCTGTACAGATTCACACACACACACGCTTAAAGTAGTTTTAAATAGAAGAAAACATCTTTTAAACTTGGATTTTACTTTCTTTTTAATATATTAAACTAATTTAAAGTTTGCATAACTGTGATAAAGAGGTGCTTCTGTAAGGAATTCACCTTACTCCTCTGAAGCTGGCAGCTTTGCACAATCTGTTACAAAAATACAATAGATTTTAGATGTGCAAAACTAAATAAGTTTAATGCTATCGTTTCTCCATTCCAAAATACAATTGGATTAATAAAATTGTCTTGATTTGGGGTCCAATTTGACCTAAAAAAAACCTGCTTTTTAGGGAGTATTTTTCTTTCTGAAAAATGAATGATGATATCCAGGTTTGTGTCCCAAAAACTGTAGGCCATTGATAGTACAAGTTGATTTGGAAAGTCTGGTCCTGCATTGTGCAGAAGTCTTCACAGCTGCATTGCCCAAAGCAAACAGATGGTTTCACCTGCAAGGTTTTGTCTCATGTAAAATTCATGTTGTGAATTAAGAAAGAGTGTGTTTAGGGTTTATTGTTCTGGGTGCTGCTTAGCGTGGTTATTAGAGCAATAACAACCTCAAGCAAACACACTGGAAAAGTCATCCTTATCCAAATGGTTTGAGGAATGCCTCTTGTCTTGGAATGCAGGAGTTAACTGAAAGATCAAAGCTACAAAGTCTGCCGGAAACATGAAAACCCAGTGGTGTGACACACCATAAAAGGGTTAAAAATGATGATGTAAATCATGTGTGTTGCTTAAAATGCTGTGAAAGTGTAGACAGAACCTGAAGGTATAATAAATAATCTTTGAATACCTGAGAGCCTTGTGGCCTCTCTGTCATTAATCAGAAACCACAGACTGAGGGATTGGCTGGCAAAACATTAATCATTAAGCAATTAATTCCAGCCATGAAAACAAAACTGTGTGATTTCCTGAGTAGGTGGGATTGGAGGAGGCATGGCATGTTTTTGCTTTTTCGCTATAAAGGAAATAAAGAAGTACTGAGGAGGTCATGCATTCATCATTCAGATGCGATAGCAAATCTCCTTTATTATCCAGTTCTTCACTTCCTTTTTGTTTATATGAAACAGGAAAAGAGAAAATCACCACAGTTTTTCCTGGGAAGCAGTAATGAGACTCTTGAGCTTAAACCTTTCTATGTGTGTGACACTAACAAAAAGGGCTTTATTTCTTGTGTCTTATATGCTCCTCCAGTTCTCCATAACAGCATGCTAGAAATACTTTTTTATTCTTCTCAGCAGCATCACCAGCTGTAACAGTTGTCTGGTGAGATTCAGGACATCTGTCTTTTTCCTCTTTTCCTCAAATTCCAGTTTCTAATCATTTACCGATTACCTCAGGATCTTAGTTTTTCTTGCTTTTAGTGTTTATAGTTATGGAGAAGCCTAAAAATGCAAATACTAAAACCTCAATAATCCAAACACAAGGACAGCAGAGTGAAAAAATGTGTTCATATTGATTTTGATTTTCTTATGTCATTTAATTTGCAGATACTTTAATTAGTTTAAGGGACATAGATTATGTTTTTTGCGGATTTGAGTTTGGAAATGCTGCTAGAACTGCCACTTATATTTTTAAATCTGAAACATACACATAAAGAAGAATCTTACTCATGTTTTTCTTGCCGTCACTGAGTGGAAACCTGTCCCCTCAAGGTTGGTGAGCACAACTTTACAACCAACTTCAAGAGACCACCTTTCTGTAAAGTACTGTTGGATGGATAGTGAGGTGTGATATAATTAGAAGCTGCCTAAATAGCAACAGAGCCTAGATAATTTGCCAAGTCCCACATGAGAAGTCCATGACAGAAACCGTGGTTCTTTGGCTGGTACCTATCGCCTGGCCATCTGCCTCGCCAAGCTGACGGCATAAGTACTGGGGGAGCAACTGTGGGAGTTGTTACCTCAGGTCAGCCTGGTCAGTGATCACAGAAGGCAAAAGACCTTGTTGCTGGCTTCTGAAGAATTGCTCACAAGCTTGAGACACCATCTATTTTAAACAAAGTCATTTTCACAGCAGAAGTATTCAGATGCCACCTTCTCCCTGCATAAAATGTGTGGGAATATCCTGCCACGAGACATACAAGGAAAACCTTCAGCAAAATAGATGTCATAGTTTGTGCTTTCAACTATAAAGACATGTCATCAAAGCCAAGGGTTTTACAGAAATGAGTATGCTGCTTTTACTTTGTGTGGCAATAAGATACCTTTACATACAACGGTTTCCTTTCATCAGGTGGTATCTTGAGTTCATGCAGACATTCCATAACATTTATCTCATCCTCTGCACAGAGGCACTGTATGGCAAGATACAGTGAATATACAATAATACTCTATTTAGTGAAAAGATTGCCATCATCTTTAGAGACGCAGTTCCTACTGTAAGTATAACAAAAAACACAGAGGTTAAAATAAGTGTATTCAGTATGAAGAGTTTTGAGAACAAGTTCAACTGGACAGAAGACAATATATACTGAGAAACAGAATGTTTTGTACTTGTACATTATGTCAGTCTCATCACAGAGGGTGAGTTGCAACAGTCCCTAGCTAAGCAAAACATTTTATGAGAGCAGAATCTGTCCAGCACAGATGGCCTGAATTCATGTATTGCCACTGAGATTCTAACTGTGTTTATTATTCATTTCCTCCTTCTTCCTTTGACTTGTGAATTAGTCTCGTTTGAGGAGACAGGATGTCGGGTTGAAAAGCCACCTGGATCAGCTAGACCAGCGGATAAGTGAGCTGAAATTGGATGTCAGTAAAACCTCCAGTGAATACCTGGATAGTGACAGCCGGCCCAGCTCAGGTAATGTGCGCTTGGTTGTTTATTCCCAGGGGTGCGGTGCTAGGAGAAGGGTGTCAACTGCTAAGCAAAACCCAGTGTATTGTTTGGTCAGAAACAGTGCCCCATGACTGAGGAGGAGAATAGTCATCTGGCACAGAACACACAGAGCTGGTGGGAATTTTCCTGCTAAGTTTAGTTGAAAAATACACTCAAACAGTATTATTTCTGGATTATTTTTTCATTTTTATTTTAAAATGGATATTTTAGCTGCAGATGGCAGGAGGAGAAGATAGTTTTATTAATTACCTTGTCCAGTGCAGAATGACCATTGGCCAAAGTGGCTTATTAAAAGTGAAGGAGAAAGTGGCTTATTAGAAGTGAAGGAGACCAATTAATGTTAATGCTCTGCTTAAATCCAAGAAGGGTCCTGAACCTCATTAAGGCTTTGAAGATCATTATCAATGCAGTTCTCTGGCCAACTGAATGTTTGATCACTTATATAAAAATGAAGCAGCGCTATTAAAAGACATTGGGAAAAGCCACGCCAACAATTTGCTGACTAAAGCTCTCACAGAGTGGTTTTCAGGTTCCTGGTCTGATTCACAGGGCATGCTGTACGTGCAGACTTGTATAACTAGGTTGTCTGTTAAGACTAGTTTCTGTTACCTAGTCTGGAACAATGGGAATACTTAAATAGAATTTTGAAAAGACTTAAGTCTTCCGTGAGACAAGGAAATGTTTGGGGGGTTTTTATTTATGGCACACAGATTTGCAGCTGGTACTTAAAATGGGTGTAAAAGCACAGGTTTCTGTTGAGTGTTTAAGTTCAGGATGTGTGTGCAAATTGCTTCTGTAATTAATTGGCAATGATTGCAAGACCTGGAGAGGAAAAATGGCCTCTGTTCTCTGCTCTTAGAGGTATCATACATTTGGCGGCTATGATCACAGGCTAGTTTTATTCTACTTTCCCATCCAAGCTGTGCCTGTACGCACCTAGCACAAGTTACAACAACATAAGACATAATAGTTCTTAAAGACGTTCTCCAGTGAAGAACTGGGCATGATGGTGCTGCACTTCACCCCATCCCACCCTCAGAACTAGGCAGGCATGTGCGTGCCAAGCTGGCTCAGGGCCTAAGTAAATATGCAAAAGCCCAATAAAAAGTGTTTGAATTAGAGTATACCTGTGCTATGATCATAACGTTAGGCCTGTGGCACATAGCAAATGAAGATTTATTTTGTTCTCTGCATTTTTCTTCTACAGAGCGTGTTTAGTTAATGCAAATAAGAAATATCTTCCTCTTTATTTTAACTCTGCAGGCTTCTATGACCTGAGTGATGGTGGTTCTTGCTCGCTCTCCAATTCTTGTACCTCTGTGTACAGCGAGTCCATCTCCTCCTCCCACACCAGTCTGTTGCCCGGCTCTCAACACCCTAGAGCAAGGCTCAGTGTGTTTGATTACCGACCCAAGTCTGCAGATGAAACTACTGTGCACACCACCAGCTTCCAACAGCAGGGAACCTATGTCAGCGACGGATGTCGGGTTACAGCTAGCACAGATGTTTCTGGGACTCCTGCCAGGTCCCGACCAAGACCAGTTTCCACAGGTAATTGACTGCAGAACCGGATACTCATGCAGAAGAGCAGAATTCTGGTTATTACTTTTAAGACCTAATATACTAATGTGTAATCAATATATAGCACTCATTTTCAATATATAAATGTGAGAATTAATAAAAAACCCAGAGCCAAAGCATTTACTGTCCAAAATTAACTTGTCTCCATACTCAGATATTTTTAAACAATAACAAATACTAGGACATATGTATTTAGAAGTGGGAAAAAACATTAAGTGCAGGAGATAAAATTGTACTGAGTGATGAGATAATTTTATGGTTTTTTTACTTGCTTGTGAAACCAGAAAGATCTCAGTATTTGAAATACCTTGTAAGAAGGAGCCAGGATGTATGAAAAATATAAGGTGAATTCAGAATTAGAGGTGATGAATTTTACTGAGAAAGATTTTACAGAAATCTAAGGAGAGTCACTTCCAGACATAGTGCCTGTTTTCTCAATGTTATAAAATGAGTATGATAATACTTACATATACCCTGTCCTGTTTATTCAAATTAATGTGGACTCAAATTACTCTCTTTTTCATGATTATTATGTTAAAGGATAACAGACAGCAAAGGTTAGTTGACTGTCTAGGAACCAGTCATGATCAATCATGAATATACATCATACCTTTAGACAAAATGGACAAATGTTCCAAATTTCTTGTTTACCCATCTATGAAGTGACATCATGCCATTTCTTATTTTGGGTCCTTCCATGGCCTCAGAGCAACCTTGTGTTAGTGCAGCTCTGATGGCGACCCAGCCAGATGTGTCATGGTTGCATTATAGACACAAGAAAGTCATGGGGAACATCAATTCAACTACCATGTCACTCTGAAGTCATTCCCACAGCTTCTTGACCTGAGCTAACTCACCTCTGGCTTTCTTGGAACAGTAGCAAAGACCATCTGTTCTGTACCTAGGTGTGCAGACACACCTGAAACTGTGTTGGTAAATTATGGCATAAAAGCAAAGTCTTCTCAAGACTTCTCAGAGGCTGGGGATGGAACTGAGTTTAATAATCCATGGCTTCCATGTTCAGATTACAGATTTAGTGTTCTGTCAAGAAGCTTTCCTGCCTTGCAGCATTTTGCAAAGACTGTGGAGGCTTTGTGCTTTTTTGGATATGGAGGCAGACTAGCAGAAAAAGGGACAGATGAAAAGTAGTGTGTGGGAGTGAGGACACAGACCTCCTACAGCTCTCCTTCCTTTTTCCACCACCAGCTCCCTTCTTCCTGACTAAAACCTCTTCCTTCCTTCAGTGTGAGAAACGTAAGTAGTGGAGTAGTAGTGGGTATAGTCTTGGAAGAAACGATTCTCGCAAAGTTGAACACATTGCAGGAAGCGAGGCAAGTTGTTAATTCAGAAAAGCATCATTTGGAAAGGGGAAGACATTCCTCTTTTCCTCTCCATAGCTTGTATCCACAGGTAACTGCAGATACAAGCCAATTGCATTTTCTTTCAGTGACAAGCAGAAAGCTTGCTTGAATACCACAACCACAGCATTCTTTTGACACCTTCCTGGTTTTTTTTGCACAAGAGAGTACCACTACACACTGCCAACAATTTCCTAAAGAATGTTCATTATGAACATACGTTGTTTGAGAAATCATCATCATCCTAACCTTTGTTGTAGCAGGTCTGTAAGTGTCTTAGGTAGGACACCGCAGACATTGCCAAAAGTCTTTCAAAAGCTTCCAGTCACAGGACAGAAATAGTCCCTGTAAGTGAAATATAAGGTTGGATTTGATGGTTGGGTTTCCTGTTAGCATGAAGCAGCCAGAAAATCCGTTAACTGAGGATTTGTTGGCACTGAAGTTTGCACTGTTATACAGAAAAATCCAACTGCAGATGGTTCCAGTACTCTTGGTACCAGAGGTAATACAGCACCATAGTGCTCTAAGAGGTGACTTGACTGGGTGGAACAGCCTTGCTTCACACAAGAATACAGCCTGTCTTCTAGGTGCACAGGAGATGCTCCTGCAAGGAGCAGCAGTCAAAGGTAACTTAGAGCAACCTTGACAGTACTCCAAAATGTAAGAGATCTGAATTGGTGAATGTAAATGCCATCAGCCTCCCATCTGCCTGAGTCATTATCCTTAGGGTTGTTTTTTTTCTCTGTAAAAGTAAAGGTTCTTTAGTCCATTTTCCCATGTCCTTAAGGTTGACTTTTAAAAACCCACACATAGAGTTATGGCATTCCAGATTTTCTACCTTTTAATAAAACCTCTGACTATTTATTTCTGGAGTTAAATACTCTAAAAATTACTAACTTGAGAAAAGCATGAGACTGGTAACGTTGTTATCAAATGAAAAGAGAGATCCAGTTAGGAGGCTTTGTTGGATTTGGGTTAAAGAAAAGCAGAATCACATCACTGTGACCTATGGGACACAGGAGTCTTAATGTTGGGTTGAGTGCTTCTCTTTACTAATGCCTTACTAAAGTGGAATGCAAAAGAATAAACAACTACAGCTTCCAGCATTTATGAGGTTAAGAAACACTACAATCTGTGTCTGCTTAAGTCCTCTTAAAGCAGTTGATTGAGTACTGTAGATCTTTCCAAGATACATGATATAAAAGGGTTGGAGGAAAAGCTGGAAATCAAATTTAGCCAATTTAAAAAAAAAAAGCAAACCCCAAAAAAACTTTGCATGCTGGAAATCTCAGGAATTTCTGAATTACAGTCACATATCCAGAGAAAGTCTTTATCCTATCCTGGAATAAAAACCTCTTTGAACTGTGTTCAAAAACTGTGTCTGTTGTACTGGATAATTTTACATGACATTTAGCTTCAGGCTTTCTGGTTGTTGGATTCACCTTTTATTTCTGCTAAGAAATAAAAATAATCCCTTATTTTTGTTTAGTTGGTTGAGTTCCTGTTAGTCTGTGACGTTCTAGAGCATTTATATATGCACAGATTTACTTTCATCCAAGTAGCACAATTTAAATTTCCTGCAAAGGCATGAGTTTTGTTATTGGCATTTAAAGGCATTCTAGTCTCCATCATGCTCAGGTGAATAAAAGCCTTGAAGTTATTCCGTGGTCTTAGAGGACTGAAACTATTGTCTTCCTTCATGCTCCTGATTTTAGTGAAAGCTAGCATATCGCTCTGAAACAGCACTTTTAGCATAAGCCAGTTTGAATGTAATTGTCTCTGATTTAATTAGGTTGTTTATTTTCATCCACTGTGTAGGTGACTTGGAAAGACTCATTCCAGCAGATGCTAGATTTCAGAAAGAGACAGATCCCAAATCCATGTTGCCTCTGTGCCATGCTGGAGACATGCACTTGCTAAGCGTGGACCCCAAATTCCAGAACGACTTGATCTCCAAGAATGGCATTGATGTGTATCCTTACCCAAGCCCCCTTCATGCAGTGGCTTTACAAAGTCCCCTTTTCTCCCTAGTGGGGACAACCCCAGAAGCAGACCTCCACGCTCTTCCCAGCAAACCCATGCCTAGTGCCACAGGTCCCAGCTTGATTAGGACTAGGCCAACCACTGAGGCCAAGCCAGGGGGTTATATCAATAAATTACTGCAGCTGACGAGATGCAAAGGGAACAATCAGGCTGATGCCAGTGAGTGGGTTTCAACAAAGATCCAGCCAGCCACAATGCACCAGAGACTCATTATAACCCCCAGCACCGGTGGAGTGAAAATTAACAGCAGCAGTAGCCAGCTGGAAAAACAAGCGAGCTCTCTGGAAAGTAACAAAGCTGAAGGGAAGCTGCAGAGAGAGGTGCCGGAGGGGGAATGTGCCAAGCAGCAGGAGACCATGCACTGTGTGAATGAAGAACAGCCATCCACTTTGCCTGACACAGAGCCATCAGCTGTGAATAGTTGTTACCCCGCCAAGTCAGCAGCAAGGGGCACTCCTCTGGCAGAAGCAACAGAGAGCAGCACGGAGCACAGTTCATCCAGCTCCCAGCTGTGCCAGGAGGACTCCAGCCCCAGCATTTGGAGCATTAAAGCTGTCCCACCCAGAAAGCTGCCCTTCAAAAGGTGTGGCAATGCCAAATCGGCTAATGCTGGAGGTCACGAGCGAGTGGCACGGAGTGAGTTCGTTCATGCGCAGTTCGTCCCTGCAGAATCCCACCAGGTCCGGGTCAAGTTTGCCAGCTCCAAAACAAAGGCAGTGAAGATAAAAAGGAGGAACAGTGAAAAGGTACTACGGCCTGGGAAGCAAGCCTTTGGCATGGAGAAGGCGAGAGGGTCCCATGGGGCTGCCAGGATGCCTGCTGAATGGAATCAGCCCCAAAAACCACACGGAACAAAGAGCCTCGTGCGGAGACCTTCGTATTCTGGTGACGTGACTGGCAGGTCATGCTCAGAGTCTAGCCTGTTGCCTGTGCAGGTGAGGCTCCCCACCGTGCCATCCAGGCCAGAGCTCTGCAGGACTTCTGCCAGTGCAGAATTGTATTCCCTTGAAGCAGGTAGTGCAGACACAGCCAGCAAGAAGAAGCAGCGGAAGTGGCAGTCTACAGTGGAGATCTCTGCCAAGGCTCATCTAGCTGGCCTCTCTAGTAGCTTTGGCCTGGGAGCACCAAGGCAGTCAGCAAGGAGAGCTGGTGTCCTGCGCACTGTCAGTATGAGGGCTCGCTCCAAGAGTCAGCGCCACGGAGCTTATGCCAAAAGCGAGTCAGATCACTCTGAGTACTCTGCAGAGTGCGCGTCCCTCTTTCACTCCACCATCGCAGAGACCAGCGAAGGGGAGGTCAGTGATTTCACAACTAACCGTTTTGGGGACAGTGAGTCCAGTGAAAGTGACTCGGAAGGCAGCAGTAATAGTAGCAGCCTTACCCTTGACTATGATGAGGGGGATGAAAGTGAGCTGATTTGGCCTGAAGGTTCAGTCAGACAATCAGGGGCTGCCCAAGCCTCTTCCAGGCCTCTTCCCCCAGTGCCCAAAATCTGTCGCATCAAAGCTTCAAAGGCACTAAAGAAGAAGATTAGGAGATTCCAACCTGCCTCCCTGAAGGTCATGACTATGGTTTGAGGGAGAGCAAGCATCTGTTTCTTACAGTGAGACATCCTGCTGGCTCTCATTTGCAAAACAAGAGAACCCATGTGCAGAGAAAAGGACTTGCTTAAATGAGCTGTGAAAGACCCCTGAATCAACACAAGGGATCTTGTTTGTTAATGCTTGGACATAAATGTCACTGTATCTAATTTCCTCTTTTGCCATTTATTCTGTAGATATGTATCTGTGTATATTGTGTGATGCCTTTTTTTTTTTACTATGCAGAAGGGTCACCATGGTGAAAATGAATGCAACCTCTACCATAAGATTTTACAGGTGGGCTCTTAATGGAATGTTGACTGCATGCACTGGCAGAACCAGTGCCAGACACAAAGGCTTCACAAGAAGAGGGGCTCTTCCCAAGTGGATATTTGGTAACATCCCTCCCTCTTGTGAGGAATTCTTTGCAGTCTGAAGTCTACATTACCCATCCAGCTGTCACTGTGCTCTTATGGAAGAGCTGTCAGTATTCTCCATAGTTTTATTTTATTTCACATCAACCATCCCATACCTTCTACCAGGCATCAGCAGGACAAGTCTGTTCTTCTGTAAAAACATACTACAAGAAGGCAAATGTCTTTGTGAATCAGAACAAGACTTCAGTTTGTTTCCTACGTTCAAAACTGAGGGTATATGATTGGTTTCTTTTTTTAACTCTATGATGTTCCATGTTACTGTTTATTTGTTGAATGGGTGAAAGAACATGAGGGCTCAGTGCCACAGTGTGTCAATAGCTGGGACTGAGATTATAGCTTTGCCCCTGAAATTTCAAACTCAATAAATACTATTTAATTACTTCTGAAAATTGTGTTTGTCTGACTTGATGTCTAAAGAAAATTATTCTGAATTCTAATGTCATATCAGGAATGCAGAGGATCTTTGGAGAAAACAGTTTTCATGATCACTGTGCAGAGGGGTTCTTTCTTATTTTAAGGAGGGTTGTTGTGGTGTGGTGAGAACCAGGGTCCTTCCAGCCTTTACCTCAGGAAACCTACTTCATCACCTGCTTCTAAATGCGTGAATTTAAAGTCAGTACTTATATTGAGGACGGGGTGGTGTTTAACTGACCCACTTAAATTGGTGCAATTTTGTCACAAGACACTTACTTTAAAATGTATACTTATGTATACATAATGTGTTTTGAATGCATTTGAGAACACCTATGTGAAGCTTTGAACTGGTTTCTCAATTGATGAAGTGATTTTTTTGTGTTCAGACAAACACTCTCGATTCTTTCCTCTAAGCACAGTAATCTGGAAGCTGAGCTGAAGTTCACCCTGTGTTTACCAAAGAGCAGGTATTATCCTTCTACCCTGTTTCAGTGCCCAATCTGAATACATTCCTGGCCTAGGAGATGTAGGCATTACCTCATTCAGCCAAGTGTGTTGGGTCTGAAACAAAAGGCAAGTGCTTTGCAGAAACTGGGTAAAAGAGTGCTTGTTTACTCCAAGGATTCATTAGCAAACAGAAGTATTGAAAGTCTAAACTTTTACCCAGTGCCTTCTACCCTTTGGAAGCTATGTTATGTTTTTAAATCACTCCATTTTCAAATCCTTTTTGGAAAATAAGGTAAAAGTTACATAAAGTCATTTAATTCAAGTATTTGAGCTAGTGCATAACACCATCATTACTGCAACTAGGAAAAGAGTACATATTAGTCAGTGGAATATGTTCAAACTTTTTTCATGGTTCCTACAGGATTGAGCATAATCACTCCAGTAGGGTTAATGGGAGAATTTCACAGGTCCGGTGGTGGTTTCTTGTTCGGCATGTCTAGCAACAGAACAAACAAAATAGTGATTTATGCCTTGTTGACTTTCTGCACGACAAAAGGATTCTTTTTCCCATTAACACAAAAGGCTTCATTTGGGGGAGTGTGTCAAAAGTTACATATGAACCTTTAATCCGTGGATTTTCTGTACTGGGGAGGGGTCTATTGGTTAGAAAGGAATTTTGAGAGTGTTTGTTTCCTCAGGGAGGAAATTGTTCCTAACTAGAAAACTGCTTTGGGTAGGAGCATTCTGAAACCTGGTAAAAACTGCCACCCAATAGCTCCCTGCGTTTTTATCAAAGCAAGCTCTAACAGTAAGTTTGTGGTCCCACAACTCAGTAATCCTGCTTTAGGGCTGTTAATACTCTGTCAGAAATGTTGCCAGACATGATGAAAGTGCTGATCCAAAATGAACTCACGCTGCCAATTCAAATAAAGAAAAATGATGGTTTCATTTTTTACTGAGAGTTTTTATGCCAGATGAGGTATCACTGCCTCTACTGCTCACACTTTGTGCCAGGTCAGGTAACGTCTCTCCTCCAAGAGCCAGTATAAAGCCAACATAAAAGCATAAAGCTGGCAAAAATGTCATCATCCTATGCCTCAGCTGATTTGATAGATACATGATTATGTGCCCACACTTGATCCAGGGGAAACCTGTGATGCTGAAGAGCCTCAGAAATGCAGAGAACCAATGCCAAGTGTTGGAGTATCACCACGTGCAGTGATGCTACTGAGGTCTGACTTTGGGGAGGGCAGAACAGGTGGTGCCACCCCTTCTTATTCTGGTATATTAGACTTTCTCCCTAGCACTGTCCTTTGGAAACACTCTTCTGCTGAAGCGAAAACTGTGCTGAGACCAAAGCACTGAAGAAGATCGTGCAAAGCAGAGCAGGAGGCTCAGGTGGCCAATAGTCCATCGGTATTGTCACAAGAAATATGATTGCAGTTCATTACACTGGTAAAAATCCGTACATTTTGCTGGCATTATACTGAGAATTTTGGTAACAGTTGGGTATGAGTGTGACATTTGTCAGTGCTCTTGACTATCACAGACTAAGGGCTAGCTCTGCTAACAGCACTCAGAAATACCTGCCTCTTAGGCAAACAGATCATAAACATATTTTAAAGCAACAAATACCAGTAAAAACTGTAATATCCTATTAAATGTAAATGCTACACATTGCAAAAACAGCCTTCAGCTCCATATGAAGCCTTGCTGTGAAAATAAGGGGTGCCCAGTTTTGCTCATGGTTGTAGCATTACAAAATTGCAATATTCACTGTTTCCCCTCCAGAAGGAATCCACAAGATCTTTTATACCTTGCAGTGTCTTGTACTATAAAGGCCTAAAAGAATGCGAAAAATTTCAATTGGTGATACAATTAGAAGTCTAGCACCAAACCTAATACACTTTACAAGTGAGAAGTTCAGCACTTTCCCTGTGATTTGATTAGCAAGTGTATAGATCTGACTGCTCAGAGCAGCTTTATGCAGTGTCTGTGTTACAGGAGCTAACATCTGTCATCATTCCTCCAAGCTCTAGTGAATCAAAATCATCCACTGCTGAAATCTATGCACCAGATCAGCAGTTTCCTTTGTCAAAAGCAGACATTTACATGTTGGTGGAGAAGCAAATTGCTCCTAAACCACAAAGGAAAGGAAAGAAAGGAAAAAAAAAAGAGAGAATAGCAGGGAATTAAGGAAGCTTTAAAAGCAATTTGCAGAACAGATCATAATTATGATTTTAAAATTCATAACATTAATCCTTTTATTGCTTTAATATTTTGGAACTGTGTAATTACCAGCTTTGCTGGCCTTGACGCAATCTTAGTTTATCAAGTCCACATCCAGTACTCAAACCATGGGATAGAGTCAGAGAACTAATGTTTTGTTGGAGACACCATCCTTCAGAGCAGACCTTCATTTGAAGTGACTTCTGGTCAGGCAGGGCACTGGTCGAAAAAAAGGCAGCTGTCGTGTGATAAGTCTCACACCAGCTATGAATGATACATATGGTCGTGAGTTTGAGTCCAACTGACATTGTAAGGCTGTGCTGGCATCTGGTTTGTGTTTGCTTACCTGTTCTGATCCAAAGCTCTGAATGGGTGAGAGCTGAAGGCAAGAGGTGCAGCTGAAAGTCAGGTGACAGCAGCATCTCTTTGGGAAGCAAGTCACTGCCTGCAGGACGAGGCAAGCTGAGCATGGCCCCAGAGGGCCCCAGCAGCCTTGGTACCTTCTTTATCACTCCTAGGATTCTAACTCAGGCCCTCTACTGCTCGTGGGGCAGTGTTGAGATTTGGATGCTGCACTTGAGACAGTCACAGGCTATCTACACCCAAAGCCACAGTCCTGAGCTACAAGGGCAGGGAGCACCCCAGCTCAGAGCATTCAATAAACCCCAGTTAGGTAAGGGTTGCTCAAAGGAACTGTGCAGCAAATCAAGTCACTGTGACTTCTGCTTCAGACACAGTGCAAGGCAGCAGCATGCCAGGGAAGTATTGCCAAATTGCAACTCTGAAGCAATAGCAGCAACTTTCATGTCCAAGCCCCTTTTGAGCCCTCCTCAACCATCCAGAGACTGAAGAGGTCACCCCAGTTGTGCTCACTGGAAGAGAGTAGCTCAGCTTTTAACTACAGCAGCCCCTCTGCCCTCCACACCTCAGCAAATCCTTTGGCTCCCCCAGGGAGGTGAAGTAACTATTTCTCCCTAACTATGAACTTAACACTCCTTGCTGAATGTGGTCCCCAGGAAGCTGCCATGAGATGAAGAGTAAAGGTGAGAACAAACATTAATCCGTAAAACAAGGAGTCCTATGTCTGAAACTTGCCTGTGAGGAAAACAAATATACAATAACACAAATACAGCACCTAGGCAATCTCCCATATCTCCCATACATATGTGAAGGAGACATGGGATTCTACTATTAGCTGCTACTCTGTACAGAAGGCTACTGTGATACTGTGATACAGGTGAAGAGTGATCAACAGGAAAATGCTCAGCTAATGGCTGTTTTCTGATGTTTGTACTTCTCAGCTTTAAAACCATCACAGTATGTCTAATTCTATCGCAATGCAGAATGTTAGCAGAATAACAGCTGAAATGAGCTTAAATCCAACCATCAGTTCTATTAATTCCATGTGTTATCATTATAATGAAGCTGGGAGATTATTATTAGCTAATACTGGGTTTTTTTCAAACATTCCAGTGCTTTTCCTTTCTTTTCCAGGATCAGCATTTGTAACTAAAGATCAGTGCATCAAATTCACCCATGACATCATTCCTGGGAATTCACTGGAGCTACGCCACAGACTCGTTTATCCCCTCATGCTGTTCTCAAGATGTCAGGAAGTGGGATGATTGGCATGACAGATGGAAAATAAGGAGGATTTCAGACCTCGCTTTCATTCTTGATTGCACTGCAGGAAGTGGAAGTTACTGTGTTTATGACTGGTTTGCCTGGGGAGAATCCTGCTGCTGTGTCACATCTGTGTTAGTGGAAGAGCAGGGGAGATGGTTAGGGCTGTGCATGGTGATGGCATTTCATGTTTATTCTGGCTTTCAAAAGACAAAAGTATCAGCAGTCTGGTTATCCTGTAAAGCTACAAACCAAGAGAGGAGAAAGCCCAGAGATCAAATTGACCAAGCAGGGTTGTCTAGGCAGGCTTACAAACCCCAAACGAAGAATATCCATTTCAGCAGGAGACTTGAGCAGCTGGATGTACTGAAAAGCTCTGTGAAATCACTCTGGGTGCCTCATCTTCATCATCCAAGATAGAAACAACAGGCTAACAAGCTGCTCTGAAGAATGTGCATTACTGCAAACTTTCACTCCTATATGCAATATTTTCTGTCCATTCCTAGTGTCCCAAAAATGAGTCTAAAAGCCAAAGGTTCAAATTCACTTAATGCATTATTACTATTAAGAATCTAGCAAACTTTTTTACAACTTCCAAGATGGAAGGATACAGATACATTGACTCTTGAGACATCAGGAAGTATCTTTCAGTGGAAATCTTGAA